TTTAAATTATTTGGTGTACCTGACCCTCCGGCTCCATAATCGTTCAGCATTTTCCCACCTGAATAATTTTGTTAGTAGTAGACATACTCTGTTGCTAAAGATAAAAATTGTGAAAGTGAACATATAACTAGATTCCCGTTAATGGAACCAATTTATTTAACTAAAAAATAATTTTTGTGGTCAAAGTCAATATTAGAATAAATCAATTTTTTAATAACCAAGTTTACTTCACTTTTCCAAATGTAAAAGAGTAAAAAGTAATTAAAATTAAATATTCAATAGACAAAGGAAAGGAAATATTATTGATGATTGTTGCTTTCTTCCAAGAATTGCGAGTAAGAATCTTTAATTAAGTAGAAAAGTAAAAGTAAAGACTGATTGCATATATTTGTGAATTTCTTTATGATCGTACAAAGTAAGGTAAGGGATGCTTATATAAGGACACAATATATAATTATTTTCCCTCACTTAATTCCTGGCCATTACTAACATTAACTACATTAATTGCCCGTTACTTAAATTATTCATAACGGTTATGGTAATAATAAACAACCGTGCACAATCAGGAATTATGTTGATTCCCTTTCCATATTCGTAACTGTCATTGAATCTTCCACTTTTGAAGTTTTCATGCATCCCGTGCCTATCTCTTATTTCTCAGTCGTCAGATGAGATATCTTTTGTAATCAATCCTGCAAGTGCTTTAACCTTGCCTCATCATTATTTCTTATTTGATCTTATTCATATGCCACATGTCTACATACCATTAATCCACATGTCATATCTATTTTCTACCAATACATTTATGGCTCTTACTTTTCTCAAAACATATATTACTTGTACTTTAATATCTAACATGTATATATCCATGCATGTAGTCGGGAGTACTAGTATTTCGTTTCTACTTTTGATTGTTGATAAATTGAATTTGAAACACTTGACTATCTAAAACATGTGCCAAAATAGTGTGAAAATCTATGTAAGTAGGATATAAAACTAATTGTTTCTCCGATAAAGCCTATCTTGTTTTTCAAATGTAAAATAGTCATAAACCTATGTAAGTTGAATTATATTCCCATAACCTTTTTCATGATCTATTTCAGCCTTCAGGTAATGGACTTGGAGGTTAAGGGAGCAAGGAAGAAGAGAGCGGTGTACGGCCAACCTAAGAATAAGTGGGGAGCCTTGACTAAGGGAAAGGCTCAGGAGTTGGGGGAGAAGCTAGTGGCTATGGGGGCCTGGAGGAGTAGTGGGGACGCGAGTAGTAGGCGGACCACGATAGCAAAGGGGTCACAAAGGGTTATTCAGGTGGCCACAAAGGGGACTGGTAGTGGAATGGGGAGGTCCAAGGAAAAATGGAAGCTAAGAAAGAGGCATATTTGAAGCTAGTGGGGAGCACAAACGAGGAAGAGCGAAGGTCGTATAGGGAGTGTTATAAGAAGGCAAGAAGAGAGGCGAAGCTCACGGTCATGGCGGCTAAGACTGCAACTTTTGAAAGATTGTATGAGGATATTGGGGGCAAAGCAGGGGATAGGAAGTTGCACAAGTTAGCCAAGATTAGGGAGAGGAAGGCTCGGGACCTGGATCGGGTGAGGTGCATCAAAGACGAAGACGGTAAGGTATTGGTGGAAGAGGCATGTACCAGGCATAGATGGTAGGAGTACTTCCATAAACTCTTGAACGAGGAAGGGGATAAAAACATCGTGCTAGGTGAGTTTAAGAACTCAGAGAGTCTGAGAGATTTTGGGTTTTGTAGGTGTATTAAGTGTGAGGAGGTTTATGTGGAAATACGGAAGATGAGAAAGGGTAAGGTGACTGGGCCTGACGAGATCCCGGTGGAATTTTGGAAAGAGACGGGTAAGGTAGGCTTGGAGTGGCTTACTTGCTGGTTTAACATCATTTTCAAGACGAAAGAGATGCCCGAAGATTGGTGGTGGAGCTTGATTATTCTGTTGTACAAAAACAAAGGTGATATCTAGAACTACAACAACTATATGGGTATCAAGCTGCTGAGTCACACTATGAAGGTTTGGGAGAGGGTGGTGGAGAAGAGAGTGAGGATAGGTGTATCTATCTCTAAGAACCAGTTCGGATTTATGCTGAGACGGTCAACTACATAAGCCATTCACCTTATGAGACGATTGGCGGAGCAGTATAGGGAGAGGAAAAAGGACTTGCACATGGTATTCATTGACCTTGAGAAGTCTCATGACAAAGTCCTGAGGGATGTACTATGAAGCTGTTTGGAGGTTAGCAGAGTCCCGGTAGCGTACATTAGGGTAATTAAGGACATGTATGAAGGTGCTAAGACTTGGGTGAGGACTGCGGAAGGAGACTCGGAACATTTCCCTGTGGATATGGGGTTGCATGAGGGATCAGCCCTTAACCCGCGTTTGTTTTCCCTATTGTTGGATGTGCTGACGCGACACTTATAAGAGAGGGTGCCATGGTGTATGTTATTTACTGATGACATAGTACTGATTGACGAGACATGAGGGGGTGTAAACGCTAGGTTGGAAGTTTGGAGACAGGCGCTGGAGTCCAAAGGTTTCAAGTTGAAAGCTGAATACTTAGAGTGCAAGTTCAGTGATGAGAGGCATGAAGAAGAAGTGGAAGTAAAAATAGATACTCAAGTCATTCCGAAAAGAGATAGTTTTAAGTATCTTAGGTCTATAATCCAAGGCGACAGGGAGATTGACGAGGATGTTACTCACCACATTGGAGCGGGTTGGATGAGATGGAGGCTAGCTTCGAGGGTTTTATGCGACAAGAATGTGCCGCCTAGACTTAATGGCAAATTCTACAGGGTGGTAGTTAGACCGGCTATGTTGTATGGAGCTAAGTGTTGGCCCGTCAAGAAGTCACATGTCCATAAGATGAGCGTAGCTAAAATGAGGATGTTGAGATGGATGTGTGGACATACCAGGAAAGACAAAATTAGGAATGAAGTTATTAGAGACAAGGTGGAAGTGGTATCTATGAAAGACAAGTTGCGGGAATTGAGGCTATGATGGTTTGGGCATCTGAGGAGGAGAGACATAGATGGCCCAGTCAGGAGGTATGAGAGATTGAACATGGCGGGCTTGAGGAAAGGCAGGGGTAGGCCAAAGAAATATTAGGGAGGGGTGATTAGGCAGGACATGTCGGTGCTTCACCTAACCGAGGACATGACTAGCGATAGGAAGGTGTGGAGGTCGAGGATTAAGGTGGTGGGTTGACAAGCAGTTGTAACTTTCTCGTAGGTTTACCAATACTACTAGTAGTATTCTTGTTGTTGGTTGAAAGATACTTTCTTCTAGTTTGTTAGTATATCTAGTACTTAGCTACCACGTCCACTGTTTTTTGAAAACTACTACTGGAAATTGTTGCTCCCTGACTGTTACTATTTGAGGCTACGTTTTCTCCCCTTTTACTGGAAATTATTGCTCCATGTTTATTACTATTTGATACACTTTTTCTCCCCTTTTTTCCTTATTGTCTTTTGTCTCCCTATTCTTTCTTTCTTCCCCCTCTTTCTTCTTCTTCTTCTTCCCTTTTCTTCCTTGCCATCTTTTCTTGAGCCGAGGGTCTATCGGAAACAACCTCTCTACCTCTCCAGGTAGGGGTAAGATCTGCGTACATACTATTCTCCCCATACTCCACCTGTGAGATTATACTGAGTTTGTTGTTGTTGTATTTGAGCCTCCGGTAATGGGTTTCAATTCAAAACTTCACATTCTCATAGGGAAGGCAATGTGTTAGCTGACTTTTGAGCTAATTTTGCAGTTGATAATTACCTGCTCGGTGATGGCATTATTGAAGACTTGGAGGAGCGACTGAACTTTGAGTTAGTTATTAGCTTGAATTGTTTCACTGTTTTTAATTCTTTTGCACTTTACTAGGATTATCTTATTCAATATCATCTTAAAGTATGCTATGAACTCTGGGATAATCATAGGATTATTTGATTTTAGTTAGTCTTGTAAAAGGTAAGGTATGTCCTATTATTCTCATTAGGATTAGTAAGGTAACGTTTCTTTCACCTTGTATTTTTCTTTTGAGTTTAATAAGTAAGTAAGGGTCCATGTCAAACCCCACAAAATAATGAAAGTACATTGTAACCGCATGATTATCGTTGTCATGATTTGTGCCAAGCAGTCAAGTTAATTGTTTGGCTTATAGCACAATAATTTACACAAGCAAGGTTGTGGCAAACATTCACGGCATCCATCAACGCTAAATCGACTAATTTTTAATTCTTCAATTTCAAATATTAAACAACTTGTATTCTTGTAGAAAAGGCTCGTTAAAAGACGATGATTATGATATGTATGTTTATTACATTTAACAACTTCTTCATTGAGTCAAGAATTATTGATTCGCTAGATTAAATTATGATTATACCAGAAATGTGGTATCTTGAAAGATTAAAGAATGATTTCATGTAACATGACTTACTAATTTTTTACATTATTTATTAACTCATCGATGAAGTTGAAAACAATAGAGATTTGTGTTCAAATTCATATAGAGATAGAATATTTAGGTAATATTTTTTTATCTATGTAAATTTTGATTGACAAAACTACTCAATATCTTTGCTAACGAGAGATAATAGGTATCTGATAACTATTTGATAGATAAATACAAATTGACCCAAACATTATGATTATTAAAATAAGAAATTACTCTCGTTTCATAGGGTGTGTATATTATTTTCTTCTGATTAATCCAATAGTTTTGATTTATGATACATGAATCTATTTCATTCCCTAAGTAATTAACGTGAGCACGAAAAATGGTCAGATATATTCTTGTACTATTAAAAATAATTTAAACATATTCTTCGTTATATTATTTGGTCATTCTAAACGCTATTGTTATACATAAAATAAATATATCGGTATTTTAGATGGAATGACACATGGCTGCACCACATCCGTTTCAAGAAAAACACTGCCCGACCAATAATCAAAAGTCCAGTCATGTAGTTCAAACAACACACTGCAAAAGGCCAAAACTGGTAGAACTCATACTAGTTTGCTTCCTTAAATATATCTTATTCAACCATCTAAAATCTATGGACTTGGATTTATGGCAGTATAGATAACAACTTTTCTGCCTTTAACCTAGAGCATCAGAATCTGCTAAGCATTTACCTATTGATACCTCAGAATTCACACAAAAAAATAACATAATCAGAAAGATCCCTTAAATAAAAAATCAAAGAAATAAAAGGAGCTTCATAAGGAAGAACATCACATCCCAATCTTAAAAGAGCCATTTTCATTCAGTGGAAAAAAAATGAAGGTGATCAGTGTACGAAGTAAAAAATTTCTCCCTAATTGTGCAAGTTCACTTGTTAGTGACAAACATAAGAAACAAAGGACGAGGCAGCAGTGTAGGGTCAGAAGTCGTCGGAGGTTCGCCGGAGCTGCAAAAAATGGATGGTCGGAGTTTTAACTATCTATTTCGTCTCCGGATCTGATAAATAAAATGAAAATATGAAACAATAGAGCAATGACTCACCGGAAAAATATATTCATGGTCAGATGCAGTAAAATCCAGACCCAAAACTTTTAGATCTTTGACCTCTTGTATATATTTCTCCAGATCGGTGTATAAACATGTGTAGGTATAGAGAAAGGGTAAAAGAAGATGCGAGGTGACAAATCTGAAGATTCTCCATGATTTTCGGCGAGTTCGCTGGTGGAAATTTCGGCCATGGCCATAACAGTGAGGTGATGGAGAAGAGAGGAGGACAAGAGGAGAGAGAGAGAGAAGCAATCGGGATGGACTTTGGGTCGGGCAATGGTTTTTCTGAATTGAATCGAATTAAAAAAAATGGGATGGGTCGATCTAAAATAAGAGTATACTTATTCCATATTATAATAGTAGGTCACCAAATAATATATCGAAGGTTATATATAAACTATTTTTGTATAGAGATATATTTGATTCTTTTTTGACGTGAGCGAGATGATAGTGGGATGTGGCGAGGCGATTTGCAATTGCGGTGCGGGTTTAAGTTTAACCCGCAAAACTTTAACCCGCACCGCATAGCAAAATTTTTTCTTTTCAACCTCGTCCCGCATGAACCCGCCACACCTAACGAAAAACTTCCGTTTGTGAGCACGTTCGTCTGAATTATTTTGTTCTATTTAACTTTAATTTACTGAATTTTGTTTATTTAAGTCAGTTAGCAAATCTTCTCTTTTGGCTCTGCTAATTATATATTACTTATTTAGTCTTACAAAAATTCATACTTCCAGAGCTGGCTACTGGATTAACTTTGTTTCTTCTCATTGTTAATTTATTTAACATGAGCAGATTTATACCAAAAATAAAAAGGAGAAAAAACATGAATGAGAAAATAAAAAAGAAAAGAGGAAAGGAAGAATCAGATTTTTTCAGTTAATAATAGCCACGGCCTTAATATATTAAAAATCCAAAATCTCTTTTTAGGGATAAGTATAAGAATAAATGTAAATTTGTTTGAAACTGAGAACCCGCCTCACATGATTATCAACCCGCAACTTAAAATATTAAACATCCAAAATCTCTTTTTAGGGATAAGTATAAGAATAAATGCAAATTTGTTTGAAACTGAGAACCCGCCTCACATGATTATCAACCCGCAACTATTCTTAGTTTTTAAAAGAATGTTCAAACCCATCCCGCCCCGCATTCATATGCACCTGCCACGCACCCGCATGATCTCAAACCCGCCCCGCACCCGACACCGCCCCATTATCATCGCTATACAGGTCGGCCAACAAACGACGTCGTACCACATTTACAATTAAAACTTCTTAACCAGAAAAACAAAATATTTGAAATGCAAGGAAAGAGATGAAAAGATCTTTCTATTTTCTCTCACTCAATTTCTTAGATTCGCTTTCACTCCTTTCCTTTCATCCGGGCACAATCCTATAATTACATTGTTATTTAACGCACCCACACATTTTCAGATTCCTGTTTTTCTCTTTTGGGTAATGAACTTCTTCTAGCAGGAGAACTCTCTGTAATATTCCTATGTAACATTTTTCTCTATATTTAACTTTCTTTGTACATAATCTAATCTGGGTCACATTTTGCATCTGAGATTCTTATTTTTTGTTCGTTTTTTGTGAACAGGATATGGCATTGAAGAGGGGATTATCTGGTGTAGGCTACCCTATTGTGGTTCTCGTGTTCTGTTCATATCTGGGCCTGTACAGCTCTACTTCAATTGGTTAGTGTATATTTTTCACATTGCTGGGCTAGTTGTTCCAATGGATAAATCTTAACTTGTGGTTTTCGTTTATCTTCAATTTTTGTAGTGATGTTAGTACTCAACATTGGGTTTGAATGTTATCATTCAGATTTGTGAACTTGTTGAGGCCCAAAGTGTTTTAAACTCTTTTCATGGAGTGTATTGATTTGAATTTGGTGAGATTAACTTAATTTTTTCATTTTAGTTGGATAGTATTTTTTTGATAACTGAGAAATTCCCTAGGGCTAGTGGAGCAAGGTTCGAAACTCATCGGATAATGGCCCGCCCCTCTACCCTTCTCTACTTAAACACCATGCTTTTGTCTACGGCAGGATTTGAATACGTACGTGCGCCAAACCCACATATTACGCGCTGCAGTTTTACCACTAGACCAAAGGCCCGGGGCTTAATTTTAACTGGATGATGTATGGAGTAGAGCTAAATGTGGATAACGAGTCTATAAAGTTCTTCACAGTGACACACTCCTCAATTCCTTAATTGAAAAATATCATATGGAGTACCAAAAATACATTGTTGCTCAAGTATACAAACTATCGATAAAGTTTCCTTACTATTATATTTTTGGGTGTGCAAACAAAGTTTCCATCGGAAGTTGATTGAAAAAAACATATAAGGTGTAGTGATACTACTAATAGTATGGAGCTTTTGGAGAAAATCGTGCGGGATTGGATAAAAAAGGACAGTATCACTCATGTTAAGAATGTATTTAGGCTGGTTTAGCTCATCAAATTGTATCGAGCCAATTGTTCGGTGTAACGAGTATAGAGATGCCTGAGTGTTAGCATGAAGCCCAGCTTATGATTTGCCCGTCTATGGGCCGATTTACTACTTTTACCTTTAGCTTGGGACGCACACACAAAAAAGAAGATTGTGTGCTTTGGTGGCCATAAGTACTCGGATGATATGGGTTGTACTCTGTGAATCTCCAGATAAGCCCAAGAATCATAGTGATGGATCATATGCAACTTAATTCAAGGAGAAATTATTGGGTGTGCGAACAAAGTTTCATATTGAAAGTTGATAAGAAAAAAAAGTAATATATAAAGTGTAATGATACTCTTAATGGTGTGAGTTTTTTTGGAGAAAATCGTGTGTGCTTGACCCAAAACAGACAATATATATTATTCTACTAACTTTCTATTCTAATTCTCGACCTCCACACCTTCCTATCAAGGATCATGTTCTCTGTAAGCTGAAGATGAGCCATGTCCTACCTAATCACCTCTTTTAATACTTCTTAGGCTTAACTCTGTCTCTCCTTAGACCCACCATGTCTAACCTCTCACACCTCCTTACTGGGGCATCTATGCATCTTCTCTTCACGTACCCGAACCATCTCAGTCTTGTTTCCAGCATTTGGTCCACCACGGAGGCCACTCCCACCTTATATCGAATTTCTTCATTCATAATCTTATCCCTCCTAGTATGCCCACAGCCCCACACATCCGACTCAACATTTTTATTTCCGCTACTTTCATCTTTTGGACATGAGGTTCTTGACTGGCTAACACTCTGCACCATACAACATACTCAGTCTAACAACCACTCTGTAGAACTTACCCTTATGTATTAGCGGTACATTCTTATTGCACAAGACACCGGATGCGAGCCTCCATTTCATCCATCCTGCCCCAATACGATGTGTGACATCATTGTCGATCTTCCCATTATCTTGGATTACCGACCCAAGATACTTGAAATTTTCTCTTGGGAATGACTTGTATATCAAGCCTCACTTCCACGTCCACCTCATTATATCTAAGATGTTAAAATTGTGGAAGTGTCTATGTGACAATAACATTCGCTTTTGGCCTTATTACCTTTTTTTTATACTTGATAGACGAATTAGTAGAATTTGATTTTGCTTATTATGCTGCTCCTTTGATTTCTTGACTTCATAGAGCTGGGTTATATTAACACCTACTTGTTTATGATGAGCATTAGGGAAAAAATAGAAAAACATTACATGTGTATGTCAAAAGCTGTTTTTTAGCTCTCCATACGGATTTAGCTGATATGCCCCTTTTTTGGGATAAGTGAACACTCTATTGAAATAAAGAAGCAAAGGGATGAGCGGTTCATGATGCAGAGTTTTCGGTTTACTTTAACATTCATAGGAAAATCCAGTATAATGCATTAAGTTTCTGGATTAGTTGAAGTAGACATAATGCATACTATTGCATGTTTAGCCCTTGTAAGAACTAAAAAGAGTGAAATTGAAGTGAGATTAGATGAGATTATGGTATTTACAATTCAAATATCTTATAGGAGAATAGCATAATAGATGAAGGCGTAACATGTAGAATTAAAATTGGATAGCTGATATGTAGGAGCGATACTGGAGTACTTGGTGATAGGAAGTTAGCAAAAGAAAGGTAAGTCTATACAATGAGTGTTAGATCAACAAATATCATATAAGGGTAAATGTTGGGACAAATTGTCTATTTACAAGACTAGTGTTGAAAAAAGATGAATGCAAGATGGATGTACAATTATATAAGATTAGAATAGATGAGAAATGATCATATCTGACAGAGAGTGCAAGCAACGCACGATCAATCACTCAATCAATTTCCAATTCAAACTAGTTAGAGTCGGTTAATGAATTCTATAGTATAATATTAAAAGTTAAATGAACAATGTTGGGAGATGCTGCCCCCGTAGAAGGGCTGAAAAACTTTTGGATATCGAAAATTTAAAATTTTAAAAAAAAAGGAAAAAAAGAAGAAGAAGAAGAAAAAAATGAATTTAGGACAGAGGGAGTAGTATGCTTTAGTTTGACTAAAGGTGAAATGGACTTGAGAATTCTCCATAAAGGATCATAATGATTTTTGTGAATTCTTGGATAGAATTTCTTTTCAGGTGTTCTTTCCTTTGTGTTCATCTCCTTTGGTTCCAAATCCAAGTACCCTGATCAGAGAAGGGACAAAAAAGAAAAGAAAAGAAAGAGTAAAGTGGTTTGAACAATATAGAAAGATGCAAAATACGCTTTTAACCGACTGTCAAAGGTCGATTTGTCTGATTTTCACTATACAATGAATTGGAAGCACGCTACAACAGTTGTCTTCTTCTCTCCAACAATCAAAATAATCAATTATGTCTTAATCTAAAATTATTTGGGATTTTGTTGATATGAACTATGTGTTCAGTTCACTTTATTCAAATCCATATCAATACTCCCTCACACTTAGGTTATGCTGTTACGAAACTCCTTGCTCATCTAACACGGCACCTGGGTGCTGATGTAGTGTGTCTAGGTAGGCATGTCCCAACAAAATCAATACTTGGTAGATTCCTCAAAGTTAGACTACGACCATCACCTTACCGCGACCTTCTTTATCGGAGTTGGGACTGGATACACCTTTCTTTTTATAACGAATGTAAGGTAAGGGAACCAGATACACCTTATATGATTACCATATATCACGAATATAATTTTTCAAGATAAGATTTTTTCAAGGGATAATAATTTTTGTGGAACAACATTTTCCACCATGTCAAATGCTCCCAAAATAATAAGAATATATTAACTTAATTAATTGGGTTCTTGAGCAGAAGGTAGGTAAATTTTTAGTTTTGGAATGGAAGCAG